TTTTTTCGGCCTTATCATGTCACAGCATCTCCCCAGGGTGGAAAAAAAAACCCCCCACCTCCCATCCCCGCATCCGTCTTTCCACCCACCCTTTTTTCATTTCAAATCTCTCCCCCACAACCTCTGTGGCTGGATTTTAGGGAGAGAAGGAGGGGGGGGGAAGCTATCGGCACATGCTCTGGAGCACCAAGGCTTTGCATCTTCCCACCGGGACACGCTGTTCTCGGTTGTGAGCGAGCTCCGTTTCCCGACGACATGTTTCCTAGATCTGATGTTTGGCCGTCGGCGAGGCATGCCACTAGACCTCACCGAGGAGCCTGCCTGCTTAGCAAGCTTCGAAGAGTTGCTTCTTAATGGGTCACCTTCCAGCCGTTCTTGATTGGACGCTGGCCATATTGGGGTCTTCGGTCAGGGTGTGAGACGCACACACACACACCGGAGTAGCACACCCACAATTCTTGGCGGCCCTTTTTACAGCCTGTACGTTGCCATCTTGAAACCTTTTGCAGAAAACAGGAAAAGAGGCTTGAAGCCCACGTTGAAAGGACGAGTGGGAGGGAAATAAATCTGATTTGGAAATTGCTAGAGGTGCCTTTTGAGATTTCCTGTTTGCTACCCTCCTTCAATCTAAGATTCCTCCTTGGCTGTTTTCGTCAAGGTGGTTTAGCCTGGCGATTAAACTAAACCCAGTTTGGGCTTCAGCTACCTGAAAGATATTCAGAAAAACGCTGGTTTGTTTGTTTGTTTGTTTGTTTTGTTTCAGCCATAAAATATTTTACTCTTCCTTTGCACGAAAATTCTTCTTCCCCTTTTTTCAAACTCTCCGATTCCTGGATTTTTTTTTTCTGCCGTGGATCAAGAGGGATTTCGAGACAGGGGCAGGAATGGAAGCAAACTTTGATCCGATGTAGGTTTCATTTTCGTACGGGTTTATTTCGGCCGAATTGCAGGAGAGGAAAAAAAGAATGACACCACCGTTCTCATTTGAAACAATGTCAGATTCTTTCCCAAAATCTCTAATCCCGGTATCACAAACAGGACTAGAGTATCCCCTGAGCACGTGCAGAGTGTTTTTACCTTGCCAGCAAGAAATGGCACACGGGTTTTTTTTAGCCTTAAAAAAACTAAACCGAACTTAAACAAACTATTGTAAGTCAAGAACTATCTGTACGTTAACAATGCTGGCTTGTTTCAGGAGACCCTGAAACCCCAGACAGAGTCCAGGCAATTCCGGGAAACAATTCAAGCCAGATCTTGGATTTATTGCAAAATTAAGGCCAGGCCTGCTGCTCTCGTGCCAACAGGCAGATATTCACCAGGAGAAGACTTTTTATTTTTTTATTTTTTGGGGGGGAAAGTATGAAACCAACTTTGATTTCATGGACGGTTCTTTTCTGCACACTCCAAAACGTCTTTGGAGGCGCCTCCTCCCGGCTCGTCCCCTTTTGCGCGTTTCTGTTGCTAAGCTTGGGCGAGAATTGGGTCAGGATTTTGAGTTCCTCGTAGGCAAAACTTTCCGGTCACACAAACAGGAAGGAGCGCCCCACTTCCTGGAGACGCTCCAAAAGGACCTTTGATTGATGGCCTCTTTTCCTTTGCAAAAAGCCCAGGCAGGAATTCCAAAGGCCGAGCCTCTGCGCCCAACGTAACCAAAACCAGGCAGCCATTCCACAGGGAGAAGCTGTGGGAGCCAGGCAGATGGAGGGGGGGGGGAGGCGGCGGAGAAACCCACCCTTACAGCACAGGCGGTTCAATCTCCTTGCAATCCGGCATGTCTCTTTTATTTGATTTTGATTTGCACCCTGGGCTGAGCCCGGCGTGAGTCCGTGCCAGCTTGTGGTGTGCGTCGGGTTCCGAACAGAACGCCTTGTGCAAAAAAAAAAATAAAGAAAAGAAGAAGAAAAAAAAGCCCACAATCTTAGGGGATTAAACTCGGGGGAAGCCAAGGACGGGCACGCAATGCCCCAGGCTTCCAGGGCGGGTGCCAACGGTGGGAAAAGAGTGGGACACTCTCTCCGGGCTGCCAATCAGCTAGTCTCAAAGTCTGAGAAGACTTGGGGAGGGGGGGGGGAGAAATAAAATAAAACTTTCCCCTTTGGTTCCGTGCCCAGCAAGGGCTGCAGGCTGAGCTGGCATAGCTGGGGGTGTTCACCCTGCTAGGCGCCGCACCTAAACCTTGGGTCAGAGTGCCCTCGCTTCCCCACCACGCCCGGCAGTTTTTCAACCCAGCCTGCCCACCCCTTGCCCAGCCGGTCGAGCCTGCTTGGCAGAGAGGGGAGGGGCGGTCCTGTCAAAGCCCATTCCTGCCCCCACCTACCCACCCACCCCTTTCTTCCCCCTGCCCTGGCAAAGGCAAACACCCTCCTGGCGGGCACCCAAGATGCCTGGGAGTGGCCACCGCCCAGACCGAGCTGGCTCCCCCGGGCGAGAAGGGGCATGCCTCAGTTTCTCCTCCGCCTCCCTTCCTTCCCGTCTGCCCCCCAGAACGCGGCCCCACCTCTCTCTATCCTTGCCCAGGGCACCTGAACAATCTGGGCAAAGGGTAGGGAGAGGAAGAAGGTGAGCGAGCCGACCTGGGGGGGGGGACTCCATCTTTTTCCAAGCCGGAAGGGTTTGCTTGCGGCGCACACAGGGCCTCTGAGCATGGGCGAAGGGCGAGAGGGGTCGCCGAGTCGGCCTGCGGGTTCGGTCAATGGCGGCGGCTGTGCTTTCTCTCCCTCTGCGCCGGCCTTTTCATATTTGTTATCGGTTTTATAGAGTAATATAGTTTGGATTTGAAATGATTGGAGAGTGGAGGCGGGCGAAATGCCAGCTTTATGGGTTTGGAAGACCTCGAGAGGGAGGGAGGGAAGGAAGGAAGGAAGGAAGGAAGGGCATATTTATTAGGGTCTTGTGATCTTCAGAGAACTAAACTTGAGCTATCCATGATCTTGTTCTGAAGGAAGGAAAGAAAAAGAAAGAAAGAAAGAAAAGAAAGAAAGAAAGAAAGAAAGAAAGAAAGAAAGAAAGAAAGAAAGAAAGAAAGAAAGAAAGAAAGAAAGAAAGAAAGAAAGAATGGCATATTTATTAGGGTCTTGTGTTCTTCAGAGAACTAAACTTGAGCTATCCATGAACTTGTTAGGAAGGAAGGAAAGAAGGAAGGAAGGAAAGAAGGAAGGAAGGAAGGAAGGAAGGAAGGAAAGAAGGAAGGAAGGAAGGAAGGAAGGAAGGAAGGAAGGAAGGAAGGAAACAGGAAGGGAGGGAAGGAGGGAGGGAGGGAGGAAAAAAGTGGATTCTCAACACAGGTTTCACCTGCTGGGGGGATTCAGTTGAATCTTGGCCTAACCAATGAGCCAAGGCTAATTCCAATAGGATGTACATTTAATGGTTTGCTGTTTTAATAGGATTTTCATGGTCAGCTGTGAGTTGAATGGGAGTTGACGTCCCCGCCCTCTTAAAGCCTGCTGGCTGGGGAATTCTGGGAGTTGAAGTTCCCCCATCTTAAAACATGCTGGCTGGGGAATTCTAGGAGTTGAAGCCCACCCCTCTTAATGTTGCCAAGGCTGAGTAACACCATCTTAGCTCTCCTGAATGGCACCATTCCCCCCCCCTCCCACACATTGCTCTCCTATTGATGCTCAGCCCTGTAGGTCCAATCCTGACATGGCTGGGCAAAGGGGATCCTGCCGCAGCAGCGAGAACTCCTTCTCCCATCTTCCCCAGCCCATTCGAGGGGAAGAGGGGGAACTACAGCTAGTGTGTCATGACGAGCCTCCTACGTCTCTGCCTCCTTCGCCCAGCGCGGGTTCAAAGCGGCCTGCCTCCCCCAGAGACACCCAAGGCAGCCGGTGTCAGGCGGGACCAAGGTTATCTTTCCTAGGAAATCTGCTTCTTCAGGTGGTTATCGAGCGACTTGATCTGCGCCCTGTAACCTCTAGCGCAACCTCTTCCTCCTGCGTGGAGGTGCAGGCTCTCTCACTACGCACATCCTCCTTTGCTTGCCTGCCTCTGGTTGATGGCAGGACCGGGAGCGAGTCCTCGTTCACGGTCAGCCCAGCCAGACAGGAAACACGACAGGAGAAGCTAATCCTATTTTATTGAGTAAAGCTACATCCACAGAATCTTGCCCATCTGAAAGTACTGTATACATAGTCCTTGACACACAAGCACAACAGAGCCCAAATAGCTGTGCTTCAGCTACGAAATGGTCTAGGGTTTCCTGCCTGAGCAGGGGTTGGACTAGAAGACCTCCACGATCCCTTCCAGTTCTGTTATTCTCTTATTCTGCTATTGTTTTCTTCTTCTTTCCTTCCTTCCTTCCTTCCTTCCTTCCTTCCTTCCTTCCTTCCTTCTTTCCTTCCTTTCTTCCTATCACTGGAAGTTTTTAAGAAGAGACTTGACAGCCACTTGTCTGAAATGGTGTGGGGTCTCCTGCTTGAGCAGGGGGTTGGACTAGAAGACCTCCGAGGTCCCTTCCAGCTTTGTTATTCTGTTATTCTGCTATTCTTTTCTCCTTCCTTCTTCCTTCTTTCCTTCCTTCCTTCCTTCCTTTTTTCCTTCCTTCCTATCACTGGAGGTTTTTAAGAAGAGATTGGACAGCCACTTGTCTGAAATAGTGTAGGATTTCCTGCCTGAGTTGGGGGTTGGACTAGAAGACCTCCAAGGTCCCTTCCAACTCTGTTATTCTGTTATCCTTCCTTCCTTCCTTCCTTCCTTCCTTCCTTCCTTCCTTCCTTCCTTCCTTCCTTCCTTCCTTCCTTCCTTTCCTTCCTTCCTTCCCTTCCCTTCCCTTCCCTTCCCTTCCTTCCTTCCTTCCTTCCTTCCTTTTTATCACTGGAAGTTAAGCAGAGATTGGACAGACACTTCTCTGAAATGGTCTAGAGTTTCCTGCCTGAGCTGGGGGTTGGACTAGAAGATCTCCAAGGTCCCTTCCAGCTCTGTTCTTCTGTTATTCCTAGTCCGCTGAACCGCCCCACTGATACCGCTGACTCTTTCCAAACCCCCCCCCCACTGCAGGTGAGGCAATGGGTAGCCCTGAAGATGACCTGATCGGCATACCTTTTCCGGAGCACAGCAGCGAACTCCTGGGTCGTCTGAACGAGCAGCGTCGCCGAGGGATGCTGTGCGACGTCACTCTGCGAGCCCAGGGCTCCGAATATCAGAGTCACCGGGCCGTGTTGGCCGCCTGCAGCCGCTACTTCCAAAGGCTTTTCGCCGGCCCCTGCATGCCGGTGTGCGAGCTTGATTTTGTGGGCGCAGACGCCTTGGGGGCCCTGCTGGACTTCGCCTACACCGCCACCCTGACCATCAGCACGGGCAGCCTTTGCGAGGTGTTGCGCGCCGCACGCATCCTGGAGATCCCTTGCGTCATCGCAGCTTGCGTGGAGATCCTGCAAGGAAATGGCTTGGAGGCGCCCGTGCCGGATGATGCCGCGCGGGAACGCGCCCGGCGATACCTGGAAGCTTTCGGCACGCTGCCCAACATGGAAGGTGACCTGGCTGAGCCCTCCGCGTGCCCGGCTCCCCGTCGTAGTAAGAAAACGCGCAAGTTCCTGCAAGCCAAAGGCTCGCGACTAAACAACCACATCACGGAGGTTTCTCCGTCCTTGTCTCCGGCGTCAACAGAGACTCAGGAGCGCCCCAGTCCGCCCAGCCAGGCGTCGCCTGCCCCAGCGTTGGGCCACCCCCGCGAGGAGGAGGAAGAGGTCATGGCCCCCTCGCGTACCTTCCCCTTCCCGTACGTTCCCAGTCTCTCTCTAGAAGACCTGGGTTCAGACGATGAGCCCACGGAGCAGGACATTCTATCCTACATGCGTCGATTAAACCAGGAGGGTCTGTCTGTGGGTCTCGACCCCCCAGACAAGTTGGTACGCAAGCGGCGCTCGCAGATGCCCCAGGAGTGTCCCGTCTGTCACAAGATCATCCACGGGGCAGGGAAGCTACCTCGCCACATGCGGACCCACACTGGGGAGAAGCCGTTTGCCTGTGATGTGTGCGGCGTCCGTTTTACCCGGTAAGGGTTGCTCTTGTCTCGGAGTTATCACTTCCCCAAGTCCCCAAATTAATTCCAATATTAAGAGGCTGGGTATCAAGTATTGGTTTCAGACAGACCAAGAGGGTATAATTTTGGGAGGAAGGAGAGAGGGATGGAGAGAGGAAAGGAAAGGAAGGGAAGGGAAGGAGGAAGGAGATAAAGAAGAAGGAAGAGGAAGGGGAAGGGAAAGGAAAGGATGAAGAAAGGAAGGAAGGAGAGGGAGGAAAAAGGGTGGGAGGAAATGAAGGAAGGAAGAAAAGAGGGAGGAAAGGAGAAAGGAAGGAGAGGGAGACAAGAAAGGTTATACAACAGGGAAGGACTGACTTAAGAAATGTTTCCCTTAGAAACAGAAATTTTAGGCTCAGTTGTGGTCATAACTCGAGGACTACCTGTAATTGCATCTCAAAAATTAATTCCCTCTCGCTCACTCCATCTTCTTGGCTTCCTTTCCTAAAGACTAAGTTAAGTGTGAAACCCCTAGCAATGCACCCCCCACCCTGAATTTACACCCCCCCCCATCTCTTCTTTCCCCAGGAACGACAAACTCAAGATCCACATGCGCAAACACACTGGCGAGCGCCCCTATTCCTGTCCCCACTGCACAGCTCGCTTCCTGCACAGCTACGATCTGAAAAACCACCTTCATTTGCACACGGGCGCCCGTCCCTACGAGTGCTGTCTTTGCCACAAAGCGTTCGCCAAGGACGACCACCTCCAGCGCCACCTGAAAGGCCAGAACTGTCTGGAGGTCCGCACCAGGCGCCGGCGCAGGGGTCCCGATCCGGAGCCCGATTCCCTGACACCCACCGGCGTCGCCTTGTCCACCGCTCCACTCGGTTTGGCCAACGGGCGCGTGGAGGAACTACACAACTACTGGCCTGCTGGGGCGGCCGTGAGGTCGCCCGCCCCCAAAGAGGAAGAGGAGGAAGAGGAAGAAGGAGCTGAAGAGGGGCCGCAGAAGGAGGGCCCCGTGGCAGCTGTCCAGACGGCCTGACCTCCTCACTGCAGAAACTCGTCTGTGCACTATTTCTTTTCATCCGCTCGGCCAGACCGTCAGTGGCGGGATGATATACTATTCCCGGACATTGTCCGCGGAGACAAAATGCACTAGGACCCACTTCCCCACTCTCCAATTCCGTGCCTTAAGCAGCCTATAAAGCCAAGGAGAGTGGGGTCAAGAGGATGGGGGGGGGGTGTACGGAGGGCACCGAGGACCAATTGGTGTCTGTTTGCTCAGGGTGTCTAAAATAAGCCTATATTTGCAGGGAAGGGAAGTACGGTTGAGTTTTTGCTTCCCCGGCCGATGAAAAGCGAAAGGGCTGTGGGTCAGGGAGGGGCAGCACTTGAGGGGGGGTGGCTATTTTTTGGGGGGGGACATTGCTTCACATTAGGAAGGAGAAAAGAGTGAGAATGGGGTGGGGGCGGTTTCTTCTTTCCTTCTTCTGTTGAGGATATTGTTTGGATCCTTTTTTTAGGATCAGGAAGCGAGAGGGACAAACCCGATTCCCTTTCCTGTTCAGAGTGCAGAAATTCAGTTCGAAACCAATTCTCTGGCATCCATTTGGATGACCCGTCAGAGCTTAGCTGCTGCATTTGGGGGGGTTCCCTCCCCCTCCCCCCATTTCAGGAGGTTAAGAACAAGAGAAGTTCTTTTTACCCCACCAGGTCCTTCCGAACGGGTTCTCTGCCAAGCTGGCCTCCTGCTCCCAGTCCCATCATCCCCAGCCTTGCTGCACAAGGAAGACAGGTGCGGTGCCTTTGTTTCCCCCGCGGACGTATTACAGTTAGTCCTTGACTTAACAGCCATTCGTTTTGGTGACCTTCGAAGTCACAACGGCATTGAAACAGTGACTTTTTCACACTGGGCGGCCGTTGCGCCATCACGTGATTCCAAAGTCGGATGCTTGGCAACTGGTTCATATTAATGGCCATTGCAGTGTCCCGGTGTGTGTGTGTGTGTGTGTGTGTGTGTGTGTCATGTGATCGCCTTTTGCGACTTTCTGACAAGCGAAATCCAGGGGGAAGACGAGTCTGTTGCTAACTCAGCAATGGCAGCCATTCCCTGAACAAGCAAGGTCGTAAAATGGGGGACCAAACTCCCTGAATATCTTGTCTTGCTTAGGCACAAAAATTGTGGGCTCCGTTGTCGTCGTAAGTCAAGGACTACCTGTACAGCTTGGGCCGAGCATGCTGCATCCAGTCGGCGGTGTGGACCCAGCACAGAGAACCTGAGTCCAATTTTTTTTTTCCACCTTGGGAAATTCAAATGGATTCAAGTTGATCCAAATTTGGGCCAATCTCTGCACTGCTTTCTTTTTCGAAATCTCCTGGCCTGGGCTTGGCTGCCCCCTGGTGGCTTGTCTTGCACACTGCAGGAGGCTGCTCTCTGCACACTTGCTCAGATCCTTTATATAGCTTTGCCCCCCCCTCCCAGCAATGAAGGGGTGGGGGGGCTGCAATGAAGCTGCAAACCCCCCCCACACACACACTTTCCTACATCCTCCCCCAGCTTGTTGCAAAATGATTAGCACATAAATGTGGGAGGGGGGGACGAGAAGGCTTCTTCCTGTAATCCCCTCTCCTCCATTGCCGAAGCCTCAGCCCCCCTCCGCACTTCTTCAACCAAAGGTACCCCCCCCCAGGCAGTTTGCACAAAACAAATATTTTTTATTTTTTTAAAAAGGAATGACCCCCCCCCCCTTCTTAGGACTTTTTTGGGCAACCTTTTTTCTTGAATTCCTGACTTGATTGCACTAAGATACGCCTTCAGAATGGGAAGTTTCTCACTCCTGTTTTTGTTTTTGTTTTTGCACAAGGGTTTTTGCCTTTTCCTGGAGAATAAGAGAGATAAAATTGGGGAGGGGGTGTGTGTATGTGGAAAACCTGCAGGAAGCTCCCGCCCTCCGGAAGTATTTGCTGAGAGTTAATCTGTATTTAAGAGAGATAATATATTTTTACCCCCCTCTGTTTCCCTTCCTCTTCAATCCCAAATCTCTTCCCCCCCCCACTTCCACGAAGAGAGGAAATAACTCAATTTTCCTTAGCTTTAAAAGTGCCTTTGTGTTTAAACTTGAATTAGCTACTTGAAACCAAGAAAGAAAAGAGAGAGAGAGAGAGAGGAAAAAAAAAGCCGGTTCCTGGTTATTTTCTGCAATGTTTCCTGTCTTAGTTTCCTCGGTTTCCCCGTTGGAAGATTTTTTTCCGTCTTGTTGAGTAAAGCACTCCCTCTCTTACAGCGTCCTACCTGGCAGGGGTAGTGCTAGTTGGGGGGAACAAAAATAAATAAATAAGCATATTTACTTGGACCGTTTGGGAAAAGGAGACCGTTCCTGCTTCGGTTTTTATTTTTTTTTAAAAACTATTGTTAATTGTTGTTAGTGTGCTGGAATTCAAGGGGACTTTTGATCTGTGCCGAGGGCTTGATAATAAAATGGAGAGCAGGGAAGCGTTGTCGCACGGGGGTGTGTGTCGGTGTGTCTTTCGCTCGCTTTTTTCGTGGCACCTTCGGATCGCAACCTTCAAGGAAATTGTTGATTTAAAAACAAAACAAAACAGGCATGGCGAACGCGCAGCTGTGTTTGAGGTAAATCTCCATGATCTGCTAGATTTCTACCATAAGATCCATCTCTCCTTGACCTGCTAGATTTATACCAGAAGGTCCAACTCTCCTTGACCTGCTAGATTTATACCTGAAGGTCCATCTCTCCTTGACCTGCTAGATTTCTACCAGAAGGTCCAACTCTCCTTGACCTGCTAGATTTATACCTGAAGGTCCAATTCTCCTTGGCCTGCTAGATTTATACCTGAAGGTCCATCTCTCCTTGAGCTGCTAGATTTCCGCCATAAGATCCATCTCTCCTTGACCTGCTAGATTTCCGCCATACAGTTCTATTTATAAAATTCCTTTTTGACTTTGGGCGACCTCAGGGAGGTCGAAGGACCCATCCTGAAAGCCATCACATCTGAACTCTAAATGTAAAAACGAGTCGGGGGCTAGTAAGTACCAAGAACGGGAGACCACCAAGAAATCTACATGCTGTAAAACAGATCCGAAAGCTTTTTTTTTTTCTCCAGATTTTGCCAAAAATCTGAATTCTAAAAGATCCTCAAAGTCTCCAAGAACGTAAAGAAGATTTGGGAGGTGAGAATAATTCCATATTTTGTCTCGCTGAATCGCTCCGTTGAATACTGTTAGATAGATACCTTCTTTTTTTTCATAGACAAGGAGATTGGTCTAAGGAAAAGGTCATTTTTTTCGGATTCTCTTTCCAACTTCGTCCGAGTGAGATTTGGGGTCAGTTTTGACTTCTTCTAATTCTTCGCCGCTGCTTATCTCGGCCTCGTTTTGATAGCTGAAGTCAAGATGGCTGAAAAGGAAGAGAAAAAAAAGGAAACACGCGTGCATCTTTATTTTATGTTATGCTTTTTTATTTGTTTTATTTATCTTTGATCTTTTCTTTTTCAATTTATTTTTTACTCGATTGCGGCGGGATAGCATCTCCTGCCAGCAAGTCCCCGACTTGTAAAAAAGAGTTTAACTTTGTGTTTTAAAAATAATTTTTGCAAATATATTTTCCTAATTTATCTTCACAAGCCATGATGTGGCCTGTCGGGGACCGACCCAGCAAGTCTTGACACCCCCAGCTAGAATTTATGTACTAATTCAGGGGTGTCCAAACTTGGCAACTTTAAGACTGGCGGACTTCAACTCCCAGAATTCCCCAGCCAGTTATTGGGGCTTCTTTCCAGGATTAAGCCACAATTCAACCAATGAACCATGATTAAACCCCGATTCAGCAATGATTAAACCTAGATTCAATGCAGAAACCCTACCAATGCTTTGGCTGCACCCTCTGGCTGTTTGATGGTAGAGTACAGAGAGAGAGACAGCTTCCATCACCCTTCCACCCCTGCAGTGCGGTCCTCTCTGTTGTAAACGGGATGGATCTATTGTGGGAACGGCCGATGGTGGCGTTCGCTTCTCACCTTGTGCCCGAACTCGACGTACTGCTCTCATTGTCTGAGCTGGAGGATGAGTCTTCCTCGCTCTCATTACCCTCCTCTTCCTCCTCCTCCTCCTCCTCCTCCTCCTCCTTCAATTGCGCCAAGATTTTCCTTGCCAGCTGTGGAGGCAACGCGCGGCACCCGCCTTCTCCTTTCACTGCCCGCATGATCCGTGTCTTCAGCAACCGGCGCTGCTTCTGCCGTTTCTCATCCCGGACGCCGCGCAGCGCACGGACCGCGTTCGTCCAGAGCACCATCGCCTCCTCGTCACTCGAGTCTCTAAACGAGGGTTTGAAAAGAAAAGCGCATCCTATAATAGAGGGATCCCTGACACGGAGGGTCCTGGGTGCTCTCTGGGCTGGGTGGTTTTCTTGCAGACGTTTCAGGACCCAACTAGGGAACATCATCAGTGCTAGAAGGGAGAAGGAGGACCGTGGGGGTCCTTGGTGCTCTCTGAGCTTGCTGGTTTCTTGCAGACGTTTCATGACCCAACTAGGGAACATCATCAGTGCTAGAAGAGAGTGGTATGTGGAGGAGGAGGAGGAGATGGAAAAGGAGGAGGAGGACAACAACAACTGTGGGGTCCTTGATGCTCTCTGAGCTTGGTGGTTTCCTTGCAGACGTTTCATGACCTGGCTAGGTAACATCATCAGTGCTAGAAGGGAGTGGGGTTTGCAGAGAGGAGGGGAATGAGACGGTTCCACTTAACAACTGCCATAAGTGCAGACACTTACATTTCCTCGTCTATGTCACCCTGGTACGTGAGGGGGGCCATACAGATGGAACAGGTGTTATTGAGGATCCTGTAGCATTCAGGGCAGTAGATCCCTGCCAAGGATAGAAAAATGACAACATGTGAATCCATCCACACACCTGCCCTGTTCTGGCCCGCTAGATGCTTGCTAGGCCCCAGCACCCATCATCCCCAACCCAACGGGACTGTAGTCCACAGGGCCTTAAAAAAAACCCAAATTCAAGACATGTACAGGGTAGTCCTTGCTTACCGCCTGCCTCGTTTAGCGACCTTAGAAGTTACAACGATGTAAAAAAAATAGTTTTGTGGCTGATCAAGTTTACCATTTGCCCCTAACGGTGTAGGGTTCCCTGCCTGAGCAGGGGGTTGGACTAGAAAACCCCCAGGGTCCCTTCCAACTCTTTTACACCGCTGTCGTTCTCCCTTGGCTCGTTTCTTTCCACACCTCGGCACGCCGGTGTGATGCACGTCACAAAATCCTCGCTGTCAACCCCTCTCTGGATTTTCCCGCAGCCCATGCAGTACGCTTCATGGACCCCCAACTTCTTGACCAGCCACCGACAAAGGCGGAATCTGCAACGGAGGGCAAGGACGGGTGTTTGAAAGAGTGTGAAAAAATTCAGAGAAGAGCAACTAAGATGATCCAAGGCCTGGAGACTAAAACGTACGAAGAACGGCTGCGGGACTTGGGTTTGGCTAGTCTAAAGAAAAGAAGAAATAGGGGAGACATGATAGCAGTGTCCCAGTATTTGAGGGGCTGCCCCAAAGAAGAGGGGGTCACAAACTTCCTGACAGTGAAGACAATTAACCAGTGGAACAGCTTGCCACCAGAAATCGTGGGTGCTCCATCACTGGAGGTTGAGACTAGATGATCACCTGTCTGAGACGGTATAGGTTCTCCTGCTTGAGCAAGGGACTGGACTAGAAGACCTCCAAGGTCCCTTCCAGTTCTATTCTATTCTATTCTATTCTATTCTATTCTATTCTATTCTATTCTATTCTATTCTATTCTATTCTATTCTATTCTATTCTATATTCTATATTCTATTCTATATTCTATTCTATATGTTCTATATTCTATATTCTATATTCTATTCTATATTCTATTCTATTCTATTTACAGAATTGTGTATGACTGCCCTGGTAAATGTCTTACTTCGACGCAAAGACGAGTAAAATATTTTGGTGGCCTTCATCTGCAGAATTTTGCCGTACAGCCTTAAGCACGGCGCTCATAAGTTTGGTCCTTCGAGTCAAAATCGTATTGTAGAGGTAGCAGATCCGCTCCTAAATTTTGGGGGGAAAAGTTTCATTTTTTTCAAACCTCAGGGACTGCCGGTCGCAAACACGATACATGATTGCAACTCTTCGTTGCGTGGGTTTGCAGCTGGCCTCCACTTTTAATTCAAGTTTTCCTATTTCTTTAGCTTGCGCAAAAATAAAACGCCACCTTCCTGATTGCGAGGTGGGCCACAGGAGAGGGCAAAAGCGGGGACAACTCACCCGTTCCCGAGAAGGGTAATACCACGCACAGAGAACTCGCCGCATACGTTGTATGTACGTGCCAAAGATGGCGCTGAATAAACAGATCCCGTACATGAGACCTGGGGAAGAGTGAGACATGAAAAAGGCGGGTGAACACGCATTCTCTGTCTCGAGCAGGGGGTTGCAATAGATGACCTCTAAGGGCCCTTCCAACTTGATAATTCTGCGGCTGTCATTATGGCAGGGGAAACAGGCTTCGGCTGGGGACCGAATTGGAAGCAAGAGAGAGGGAAGGAGATAGGAAGTTTGACTAAAATTTAGAGAAAATATCTTAAATATTTTGCCCAAACATCCAAGGCGCTGTATCTTCAGCCGGCTTTATGCTGGGACAGAGCAAAGGGTTTTTCCTCGCTCTTACGACCGTCGTAGCAGCCCACCGTCCCGTGATCAGAATTCGGGCAACCATCAACCGACATGTATTTACGACGGTTTTGGCATCCCAGGGACACACGATCCCTCCTTTGTGATCCTCCCAGCCGGCTTCCGACCAGCCAAGTCAATGGGTTCGTTTAACGACGGCCTGATCCACTTAACAATGGCAGTGATATGCTTAAGAACCGTGGCAAAAAAAAGGGTCATAAAATCAGGGCAACTCGCTTAACAACTTAGCGATGGGAGATCAGGCCCCAAACACGATCGTGATTCAACAATTTTGCTGGGTTGACATCCTCGGCGTATTCTTTTCATCCGCCTGAAGAATTTGACGGCGGGGCGTGATTGATACATTTCCTCCCCCCCCCTGCTGAGGATGATGGATTACGGTGTCTCTTTCCATGCCTGGCTGCCGCGTCTTATTATAGTCGCCCCACTTCCGTGAAAAGTGTTCACCAAGGGGGTTTTAAACTCAGCAAATTGCGCTACTGGAGTGCATGAAAACAGCACATTTGTCATTTTTAAAGGGCTTTTTAGAGCTCTCCAAAGGGAGCCTGTTCACATTTGAACTGAAGCACCATTCCCAAATTAAAGAGTTTCCTGCTTTTTAATGCCTGCCTCTCTGCCTGGCGCAGATAAGAAACATTTGCATGGATCCCCTTCGTGCTAAAAGTCACGCAGTCACGTCCAACCGTCAGCTCCCGCTTTTCACATAATCCCCAAAGCCTCGCTCTTTTAAATCCCTCTCTCTCTACCAGCACTCCTTGATTTACGACCGCCCCAAATTTCCGTTGTTGTGAGATATCTTTTTCAGTGAATTTTGCCCCCTTTGACGACATCATTAAGTGGATCATGGTTAAGTTGTTCAGCAAATCAGGCCGTCGTTAAACAAGCCCATTGACTTGGCTTGCCGGAAGCCAGCTGGGAGGATCGCAAAGGGGGGGGGATCACGTGACCCTGGGATGCCGCGACTGTCATAAATACAGGTCGGTTGTCGGATGCCCGAATTCTCATCACGGGATGGTGGGATGCTATGACGGTCGTAAGAGCGAGGAAAAAAATATCCCTTGCTCCTTCCCAGCATAAAGCCAGCTGAAGATACAACGCCTTTGATGTTTGGCTAAACTATTTAAGATATTTTCCTAACTTTTAGCCAAACTTCCTCTCTCGTTCCCCATCTTGCTTCCAACTCTGTCCCAGAGTTGTTAAGTTAGTAACACCGTTGTAAATTGAATCTGACTTTGCTTGTCAGAAGGTTGCAAAATGAGGATTATGTGACCCCGGGATGCTGCAACCGTCATAAATGTGAGTCAGTTGCCAAGCATCTGTGACTATCGGGATGCTGCAATAGTCGTCAGTGGGAAAAACAGCCCTAAGTCTTTTTTTCCAGGACCGTCGTAACTCTGAACAGTCGCTAAATGAACTTTTGTAAGTCGAGGACTATCTGTAAAGTCTCTCTTTTATAGCTGTCTCGTTCTTCCCATCCCCACTTTCTGCTTTAAAATTTTTTTTTTTAAAAAAAAATTCTCTTGGGGGAAACAACCAGTACAGGCAGAGGATCCGGTCAGTTTCACTGAAGACGGGAAAGAAAATTCAGTGAAACTGGCAGGGTTTCTTCCTTGGGGAGCAGAAAGGGAAGCAATTCCTGAAGTCCTGTTACCGATCACGAGGTAACCGTCGTAGTCAGGCTCCGATGGGAGCAGACGGCATTTTGGGGACACCACGCTGATATTCCCCTCCTGAAGCACATCGAAGGCGGAGACCAAGTCGCGGTAGAGTTCACTGGTGTAGCCGGAGCCGTTCACACCGATAGTGGTCGACACCGGAGCTGCAGAGAAAGAAAAGGAAGTAGGGTGACCTCTCTTTCTCCTTTTGGGATCATAGAGCATGGGGAGTTTGGAGGGTTTTTTTCTTGGAGTCCTTTCCTTTCCTCCTATTTATTTTCCTTCCCTTCCCTTCCCTTGTTCCTTCCTTCCTTCCTCTCTCCCCTCCTCCTCTAATCTTCCTCCATCCATCCTCCTCTCTTACTTTTACTTTCACTTTCCTCTCCTCTCCCCTCTTTCCCCTTCCCTTCCCTTTCTTTTTCCTTCATCTCTATCCCCTTCCTCTTTAATCCTTTCTCCCCCTTATTTTCACTTTCGCTTTGCTTTGCTTTCCTCTTCCTCCCTCCCTCCCTCCCTTTCCTTTCTTCCCTCTTCTCTCCTCTTCCCTTCCTTCCTTCCTTCTTTCTTACCCTCTCCTTCCTCTCCCTCTTTTCCTTCCCTACAACAATCCTACAAGGTAGGCCGAGCAGAGAAAAAACCGCCACTGACCCCAAACCGCAGAAGCGTGCACCCTGATGAAGTCCAGAATGTGCAATGCCCTTCCTCCTCCTCCTCCTCCTCCTCCTCCTCCTCCTCCTCCTCCTCCAGCCCCTCCGCCTTACCTCTAGCCACGATTTCGCCCACCAGATGATAGCGCACCAAGTCGAACAGCCAGTAGACAAAGAAATCGGCCACAATCAGCAAAATCACCAGGATAAACTGGCGACAGATCGAGACCAAGGCCAGTGCGTAGGCAATCTGCTCCTTGCGCGGCAACACCAAGGAAGCTGTGTAACAACGCAAAAAAAAACCCCCATCCTCGTTGTTTGCTAAATGGATCCCTCGGCTTTCAAATACAGGCAGTCCTCCACTTACAACAAAGTTCGTTTCGTGACAACGGCCGTGAAAAAAGGGACTTAGGAGCATATGTTTTTAATAGCATGTTTTAATTGTGCGTTGTGTGTGTGTGTGTACACTTCGAGAGGCAGCAGCTAAATTTCATTTTTAATGGGTGCCGTCGTGCCCTCAGGGGGGAAAAATGACAATAACAGTTATAAAGGTTAAAGGTTATTTTTCCCACAACTGTTGCAGCATCACATGATCAAACTCGGATGCTCGGCCACCGACTTGCATTTATGACGGTCGCAGCGTCCTGGGGGGGGTCACGCGATCCCCTTTCCCACCTTCCGAGAAGCAAAGTGAACATAGAATCCAGATTCACTCAGCAACCGTGTTGCTAACGTCATAACTTTTCTTAACAACCGTGGCAAGAAAGATGGTAAAAAAAATGAGACAAAATGGACTGAACAGCTGTCTCGCTTAGCAACGTAAATTTTGGGCTCAGATGCGGTCCCAAGCCGAGGACCCCCTGTAGTTTGTGACCTCCACATCCCTGAGACACAACGACAATCACACAACACGTACCTGGCCGGATGTATTTGGCGCTTTCCTTCGGCGATAAAGGCAGAACGGACGGGCGCTTGTTTTTCCTCCGAACGGCATCCATTTCCAGAAAGGATTTGGTGATGTAGATGTTGTCAAAACTATCCTCGTGTAGATAATGTTTTCGGTACAAGAGAGCCCTGGAGAGGTGAAGAATTCCTCGTGGAGGGAAAGAAGACCCACACCAGCAAGGTCAAACTTCCCCTTGCTTCAGCACTGGGGCCCATCGTCCCCAGCAGAATCCCCTGCTTGTGTCCTATAGAGGATTGGAGGCTACAACATATGAAGAACAGTTGCAGGAATTGGGGATGTCTAGTTTAATGGGGGGGAAAGGACCAAGGGTGATGTGATAGCAGTGTTGTTATATTTGAGGGGTTACCCCAAAGAAGAGGGGTCCACCTCTCCTCCAAAGCACCTGAAGGCAGGACAAGAAGCAACGGATGGAAACTAATCAAGGAGAGAAGCACCCTGGAATTAAGGAGAAACTTCCTAACAGGGAGGACAATTAACCAGTGGAACAATTTGCCTCCAGAACTTGTGGGTGCTCCACCACTGGAAGTTTTTAAGAAGAGACTGGACAGCCATTGGTCCAGAATGGGATAGGGTTTCCTGCTTGAGCAGGGGGTTGGACTAGAAGACCTCCACTGTCCCTTCCAATTCTGTTATTCTGCATTCTTCCCCTTCCCAGCTCACCCGAGGTACATGTAGAGCATGACCAGCGTAGACATGTAACCAAAGAGTCCCACAGCTTCCCGCGCCGGTTGCAGACGCTCCGACACTTCCTCCATGATGTCAAAAGCCACCTGCGACAGCTTCTTGCTGGCGTTGACGTTCACCTCGTACTGGTGGATGGTGGTGATGTTGAATTCGAACTCAGCTCGCACCCGATTGAGCATGGCCACAACAGCTTGGAGTGGGAGAGAGAGAGAAAGAGAGAGAGAGTTTGAAAAATCTCTGGAATGGCTGAGAAATCCTTTTCCCCCCCTTTCCTTTCAAGGGCCACCTATCCTCCCAGGTAGGAGCACCCCATGGGTGGGGCCTGTAGGAAGGGTGGGTGGGGCCTAAAGAGGGCGGGGATACATACAAGAGGGAGAATGTCGAGATTGAAAGGGAGAGAGGATGACCCTCTGGACTTACGTTCTGCAACCTTGCGACGCAAAAACGGCACTATGTACTCCGGTATGATGCAGAAAACCAGAAGGACTGTGGAAGGAATGAGAAGAACCAGAGGGCAGCGTGGCTGGTGTGATGTGGTGAAGGCAGATCGCTCAAGAACAGCCAAAATTCCCTGAGCTTGGTGGTTTTCTTGCCGATGTTTCATTACCCAAACTAGGTAACGTCATCAGTGCTAGGAGGAGGAGGAGCAGGAAGAGGAGGAGGAGGAAGAGGAGGAGGGGGGGAGGAAGAAGAGGAGGAGAAGGAGGATAACTATGGGATCCTTGGTGCTCTCTGACTTTGCTTGTTTTCTTGCAGTGCTAGTAGCACAAATGATGTTACCTAGTTTGGTAATGAAACGTCGGCAAGAGAACCACCATGCTCAGAGAGCACCAAGGATTCCACAGCTCTCCTCCTCCTCCTCCTCTTCCTCCTCCTCCTCCTCCTCCTCCTCCTCCTCCTCCTCCTTCTAGCACTGATGATGCTACCTAGTTGGGTAATGAATCGTATGCAAGGAAACCACCACGCTCAGAGAGCACCAAGGATCCCACAGTCCTCCTCCTCCTCCCCATAAACCCCTATCCCTCCGAGCACTGATGATGTTACCTAGTTGGGTCACGAAACATCTGCAAGAAAACCACCAAGCTCAGAGACCCCCCGAAGACCCCCCCCTCCTCATTTCAACTCTGAGACACAAATAGGATTCCCTCTGCAGCCAGTAAAATCGGGCACGGTGATGAGATGGTTGATTTAACAACAACAACCAGATTGCTTAGCCATGAGTCAAGGACTACCTTAGAATTTGGTTCAGATCTTTTGGGAAGTAACTGCGCCCTCTCTGATCCCAGAGAGCCCAAATCTAGGAAGGGAGCTCACTGTTAGCCAATCCGCAGAGGTACTTGAAGAGAAGGACGACGTGGCACAGGAAGGAGAGGAAAGGGATGGCGCGTTCACACTGGTCCTTTGCGTTGTCAAAGATGCGGGCACACTTCTGGTACGGCCTGCCCATCTCCTCGTTGCACACCTCACCCATGTGAAGAAGGAAGTACCAAACGTTGCGCATGCAGTGAGCTGCAAGACAGGAAACAGCCCATACCGAGCCCAGGATCGACGAGGCTAAGTGGAACATGGGTTCACCGATTGGTTTACCCCACTGGACGACTTTTCCTGCCACCGCGGAAGGAATCGCAGCCACTCGGAAATCCCTTTTGGAAATCCCTTTTCTTATTTTTATTTTTTTTTCACTTGTCGACCTTCCAGTGCTCACCCACGTGCCGCACCGCATCCATGACAGACCGGAAAAGTTTTCGGACACGGTCTCCAACCACTTTGGCTTTTCTGGCAATATCCTTGATTTTCTTTAAGGCATCTAGGCGGAAGGGGAGAGGGACAGGTGCTGAACGTGCCTTCTTGGGAAACCTCACTTTTATTTCCTGGGAAACAAAAGAGGTGTTTCCTGGACATCTGCACATCCTGTACGCTCCGTTCTCTGCAGTAGAGTTCATAGCTCCCAGCAGTTCTAGAATGGAATGGAATAGAGTAGAATTCTATATTCTGTATTCCATTCTATATTCTATACTCTTTATTCTTTCTATATTCTATATTCTACATTCTATTCCACACTCTACATTCTACATTTTACATTCTATTCTATATTCTGCATTCTATTCCACATTCTATATTCTACATTCTATTCTATTCTACATTCTATTCCACATTCTATATTCTACATTCTATATTCTACACTCTATTTTATTCTACATTCTATTCCACATTCTATTCCACATTCTACATTCTACATTCTATTCTATTCTACATTCTATTCCACATTCTACATTTTACATTCTATTCTATATTCTGCATTCTATTCCACATTCTATATTCTACACTCTATTCTATTCTACATTCTATTCCACATTCTATTCCACATTCTATATTCTACACTCTATTCTATTCTACATTCTATTCCACGTTCTATATTCTACATTCTATATTCTACACTCTATTTTATTCTACATTCTATTCCACATTCTACATTCTATTCCACATTCTATATTCCACATTCCACATTCTACATTCTATTCTATTCCACATTCTACATTCTATTCTATTCTATTCTATTCTATTCTATTCTATTCTATTCTATTCTATTCTATTCCACATTCTACATTCTATTCTATTCTATTCTACATTCTATTCCACACTCTACATTTTACATTTTACATTCTATTCATTCAGCTGTGCAGGTTCTCTCACTGATCAGAGGTTCGCGAGCTCGCTGCAGCATTTCCGCCGTCTGGTTGAGGGCCAGCTCGGCTCCACACGAGACAGTGTCAGCGCTCCGGTTGAAATTCCGGACGATGTTGGCAAAGGGTCCTTCCATAGCCATTCCAAACGCCAGCAGTATGAGGACCATCTTGCCCTCTTCTGTCGTCAGAGAGAAATAATCAAAATGTTGCAGAGTTGAGTCACATTTGTCCCCCACAACCTTACATGAGCCCTGAAACAGCCACTCAAAGTGGATGGGGAACACCACCTCCTACAAATCAGCCCCCCCTCAAGTGTCTTATTCTGGGGTTCGGCAAACTTTCAGACCACACGGCGTCTTTCTACCCCAACATGGCGTCCAAATTTTCTGGCTTTCTCGCGAAGATGTCATTCAGAGAGTCCCAATGCCGGATTCTCGTCAGATTGGGAAGTTAGCGTCCGGGCCTTGCTCCTTCAGCAGACAAGCCTTCAATTTTTGTCTTTTCTTTTTAATTACAGTCCTGCTGTAGTCCTCGACTTACAACGTTCCATTCAGTGACCGTTCAGAGTTACAACGGCCCTGAAAAAAGTGGACTTAGGACCGTTTTTCATCCTTGCGACCACTGCAGCATCCGTGTGATCGCGTGATCAAAATTCAGACTTGTATTTACGACAGTCACGTGATTTCCCCCTTTTGCGACCTCCTGACGAGCCAAGTCAGTGAGGGAAGGCAGATTCACTTAACAACCGGGTCACTAACTGAACCACAGGGGTTCATTTAGTGACGGTGACATGAAAGGTGGTAAAATGGGGTGAAATTCAACCGTCTCTCTTAGCAGTGGAAATTTGGGGAGGCAATTCTGGTCGTAAGTGGAGGACAGCCTGGATTTCCTCTCGGGGGGGGGCTTGGGGTGCAAAGGGCACTTACTCGAAAAAAATTGAGGCAGCATCAGCAGGACGGTCACCCGGACTTTGAAGGAGAACGCCATGCCGAGGCCGAGGGCCAGGGCCAGGGTGATGGTGGACAGCAGGCAGTACCAGATACTGTAGCCTTGGCCAAAAATGACCAGGGCCCCATAGGCTGTGGAGAGGGTCATCCCCAGGCCGAAGCCCCCCAGACTACGGACCGTAGCCCGGCCAAAAGTGTCCTCTTGAATCCGCGCAACCTCTTTTTTCTTCTTTCCTTTCTTCCGTCCCTTTCTCAGCCACGGGAGGAAGAGAGTCGGCCAGAAGCTCATGGCGGCTTGGCTGAGGGCCCCGTTTGAGCTCCGGAAAGGAGTCGAGGGGCACCCAGAGGCTACCTAGACGGGTTGGAGAAAGGGTGAAGATTCAAAAGCGGCGGGAAGGGGACGATTTCCCTACCCGCCTGGCAAAACCCTGGTTGTCCTTGGCAGTTCGAAAGGCCAGTTAAGGTCAGATTCTATCAGCTTCGTAGCCCCTCCCCTTAATCTGTCTCTGTTTTGCATTGACTCCACCCACCGGTTGTTAGATTGGTTTTTCTCGGGGTCCTTAGCCCCGCCCATATTTGTTCTGGGTCTGCCCCTCGCCGGAGGCCTTTCTCAGCTCTGCTTTTAGCCCCACCCACAGCCCTCCTTGGCTCCTCCTATCACCTGCTAGCTTGCCACTAGGCTCCGCCCCTTTTCTACCTTCGCTTCTTCCACTCCGGGCTTCCTTTGGGCCCCTGTGCCCCCAATCTGGACCTTGTGGCCCCCAACGTCCAGTTAATCAACTCAGTTTCATCTAGATTAATCAACTCTTTGCAGCTTGAAGCGATGAGAGAGGAGGTAGATCTCCGGGTGGTGCCCACTCCACATTCATTCCTCCTGGCCATACAGAAGTTGGGTTTGGATGGCTCAATTTTCTCGGAACCATGCAATGGGTGGGGTGGGAGGTCTTCATTCAACAAATAAAAGCCACCAACACCCCGCATGCTGAAATGTAGCAGCTCAGGATAAACAGCTCCTTCCCTACTAGCTTTCTCTCTGCAGGGAGATGGACGGATTTTTGATTAAAGCAGCCCTTTGCACGATTATAGCTTCAAGTAACATTGAACAGCCTCATTTGTGTTGCTTCTGTGATGTCAGCCTTCTAATCATGACCTTGCCGGAACTTATCCCTTTTTCTAGAATTCAGCTCCATTTTGAAGGTGACCATTTGTGGCTGGGCGGTGGCTTCGGATCGGTCAGTCCAGCCAGCCGGTGGTCAGATTATGGGAGGGAAATATCAAAGGCTCAAAGGGCAGAAAAGGAAACATTTCAAGTCACCCAACACGAGTGAGTCCAGAGTCCAAATGAAATATATATCATTTCACAGACCAGATTTAAAATAAGCAGGGAAGATTGCCTCCTCCATGGTTCTAGTCCTCAAGAGAACATTGAGTAGCAGATCCATCCTTTGGCGGGTCAGACGGAAACGAAATATGGTGATTGCAGACATTGATAGTTACCTGTGAATGTGATCTTTTGCAGACCAATTATGGCTTCCGTCCCTAACACATTATAACCAAGATTACGATGGGGTTTTTTAAAAAATTGAGAATATTGCTTTTCAGTGGTGTCTTAGCCTGCTGTTTGTGCCTTTCTGCCACATGATTTGCAAATGTTCTACCCCAGGAATAATAAGATCAATGTAATAATATTATGATTAATACAGCTAATAATCTGACACTATGAACTGTATTAATCAATACATTTGATAACAGTAACATGAATATATATATCCTTGATTTACAAGATAGATAGACAGACAGACAGACAGACAGATAGATAGAGCTAGATAGATGTAGAAATAGAGATAGATGTGGAAATAAAGATAGATAGATAGATAGATAGATAGATAGATAGATAGATAGATAGATAGATAGATAGATAGATAGATAGAGATAGAGATAGATGTAGAAATAGAGATAGAGATAGAGATAGATGTAGAAATAAAGATAGATGATAGATAGATAGATAGATAGATAGATAGATGATAGATAGATAGATAGATAGATAGATGATAGATAGATAGATGATAGATGATAGATAGATAGATAGATAGATAGATAGATAGATAGAGATAGAGATAGATGTAGAAATAGAGATAGAGATAGAGATAGATGTAGAAATAAAGATAGATGATAGATAGATAGATAGATAGATAGATAGATAGATAGATAGATAGATGATAGATAGATAGATAGATAGATAGATGATAGATAGATAGATGATAGATAGATAGATAGATAGATAGATAGATAGATAGATAGATAGATAGATAGATAGATAGATAGATAGATAGATAGATGATAGATAGAAACCAGCTCTGTACAAATGCAGATATAAATAATCCAGGAAAATTGGAAGCCCCCAGCTAGAAGATTAAGAAGACAAAGACCTAAAATCTACATACCCACCCAAGACAGGACATAATATGATTAACTCACAGATGCCAAAGGGGCACACTCAGACTCAGGTCAAAGTTTGTGCCACAGGAACAACTCCAAACAAAAGGCTCCAGAGGGCATAAAAACCCACTCCCTACATGGGCTCGCTCTCTTTTCTTCCAGAGCCATCTTCCTGTCTGGCTCTCCTCTGCAACCTTCTTTCTAAAGCAGTCACCATGTGGTTTATCCCCGGCTTGGACTGAACCCTGATGAAAACTTTTCTTCCAACAATATAGACAGTATTTCACATCCTGCTCGAAAAGGCATCTAATCTCCAGCGTAAAGAGAACCTGGATACATTTTAAATAGGGTTTTTCCTTTGCACGCTGATGGGGACTTTTGTTTTTTTTCTGCACAGCCCTGAAGCACTTCCTCGGCTTTTTCTTACCCCAAAGCTTCGTTCACTTCCTGTGGAGTCAACCTAATGAATTTCGGCCTACCAAGTTTTTTCTCGGGGCTGGACTCGGGATTCTGTTTGCTTTGAGTAAGTCACGCCATCCGGGAGAGTTGGGAGAGAAAATACAAAACAATGGAAACAGAGTGAAATCTATAGAATCACTCAATTGCTGGGGCTCTGAATAAATCTTGTTAAAGAAAACTCGGAGAATCTGGCTTGGAAAAGAATCATTTTGAGGTTTGGGCTGCTGGGGAAAAAATAAAATAAAATTGGATACCTGCTGCCTTTCCCTCCACCCCAAAGGTTCTTTCTTAAAATCTAGAATTCTTGTTCCCCAGGTCTGGCCAAAATCCTGATCTTTCCCATGACCATCAGGGAAAACACCAAAGTTGAATTGTTGGGCTGCATGACAGGTAAAAAACTGGCTTTGGGAGAGAAGCCAAGATCCCAGGAGAGAGAAGAAAGGAGGAGGGGAGGGGAAAGAAAGGAGGAAAAAAAACCCAGCAGAACCCTGTGGGAAATTAAAGGGATCTAGGTGACCTCTTCCCTCCTCATCCCTTTTTTCCTCTAGTGTTGTTCCCACCAACATAGAGCATCCATTACCATCATGTTTTAATTCACTCGTGGCACATTACAGGAGCGGGCAGGATTGTTGTAAATCAAAAATCAATCCCAAAAAAATAAAAATAAAATAAAATCAAAAGCTGGATCTTTCGATGGATTGAGAGGAGCAACCTAGAACTAAGGAGAAATTAGATCAATTAACCAGTGGAACAACCTGCCTCCAGAAGTGGTGGATGCTCCAACACGGGAAGTTTTTAAGAAGAGACCGGAAATGTCTGAAATGGGTTAGGCTTTCCTGCCTGAGCAGGGGGCTGGACTAGATGACCTCCAAGGTCCCTTCCAACTCTATTACTATTATTATTATTATTATTATTATTATTATTATTATTATTATTATTATTATTATTATTATTATTATTATTATTATCTTTGTGCTCTGTCCTCTTTCCCCCAGGCGTGGCTGCGATTGGATGGGGCACCTCTCCGCAATTCCGTTGTGCCAGCCTTTTGGTGATCCCTAAATTCCTGGGGAAGGAAGGACGGCTTTATATTCTCACCTACATGTTAGCTGCTGTCTACGATGGTACCGAGATTTTTATTCATTTTATTTGTTGGCATCCCCTGCCTTTATGATTTTTTTTAAAATAACTCCTCCTCCTGTATTCCCTCCTTCAACAACAGCCCTGTGAGGTGGGTTGGGCTGAAAGAGAAGGGACCGGCCGAAGGTCACCCCGCTGGCTTTCATGCCTAAGGCGGGACTAGAACTCACCGCCTCCTGGTGATTGGCCCAAAGTCACCCAGCCAGCTTTATGCGTAAGTCAGGACTAGAACTCCCCATCGCCTGATGATTGGCCCAAAGTCACCCAGTCGGCTGTCATGCCTAAGGCGGGACTAGAACTCACCGCCTCCTGGTGATTGGCCAAAAAGTCACCCAGCCGGCTTTCATGCCTAAGGCAGGACTAGAACTCACTGTCGCCTGGTGATTGGCCCAAAGTCACCCAGCCAGCTGTCATGCCTAAGGCGGGACTAGAACTCACCGCCTCCTGGTGATTGGCCAAAAAGTCACCCAGCCGGCTTTCATGCCTAAGGCGGGACTAGAACTCACCGCCTCCTGGTGATTGGCCAAAAAGTCACCCAGCCGGCTTTCATGCCTAAGGCAGGACTAGAACTCACTGTCGCCTGGTGATTGGCCCAAAGTCACTCAGCTTGATTCTTAAAGGATGGAAAGACGTGCTTTAAGATGGATTTGCTGCCCAGACACCCTGATCAGAATCAGTGTTATATATTAATTTTGTTTGTTTGTTTTTCTCCTGGGAAACGGATTAAAAAACGGGGAAGAAAATTTCCACATTAAACGCCGAAGACCATTTATGCATCGCCCTCTGAGATTGTACCTCTCTAGGCAAATGTCAAATTATATAAATAGAGACGCGGTCACAGAAAGATAACTGGGTTCTTAAAAAAAAAAAAGAAATATAGTATTTTTATGAGCATTCACTTTAAGCGGCAATTGCAGCGTCGAGCCATTAGGGGGCAGCATTAAACTCCCTCTTTTGGGATGTTTAATATTGTATCTCCGTTTTGGGGCATAGTTCCACGATCAGCCACCAGAGGGCAGCATTTCCTCATTTTTCGAAAATAGCGTCACTGCAACTTTCCCCCGCCCTTTTTTCAGTTGCCAATGTGGACTAGCCCCTTTTCTCCCCTTCACGTGGGAAATTTGGAACAGCTGATCCCCCTACTCTATAATCTTTTTTTTTTTTTTTAATTTTTCCCACTGTCCCCTTTGGCAGGCCCGGTGGCAAATATCCGTCACAATCTGGGTGAAGTGGTGCGATCCATCAGCTGCACGGTGGAATTACAGATCGAAAACGCCAAAAAAGCTTGGAAAATTTCATTGGCTCCGATGCGGAAGATCCTCAAAGACATGGTGGTGAGAATAAGACAGGGCTGAGACTTGCCAAGTGGCTAGCCCTCTTGAGGGGTGTTTTGTGAAAAGGCTGGGGAGCGGTAATTGAATGAATGGGTTTTAATGCCGTTTCCATCACTTGCTGCTAATGTTTAAATTTCAAAACGACATCGTAGAAAACCCGTGGGCGCCCATTTAGCTGCCTGGTGACGCTTTGGGGAGTTGTGTCTGCTATTTAAAATGCTCTTCCGAGGCTCGGCTTAGAGCATGGATTAATTAAAAAATCTTTGTCAGTATTAATTGCCCTTTTTTTAATGCTAAAAGGACACATAAAAGAATTGACATCTTGATTTTTGGTTATCTGCCCAGCATGCTTGGTGGGTCAAGTACCGTATACTTCCTTTAAATCTGCATGGTTTAACGCTGTATCTCAACCTTAGCAATTTAAGATGGGTGGACTTCAACTCCCAGAATTCCCCAGCCACTATGGTGGCTGGGGAATTCTGGGAACTGAAGTCCACCCCCGTCTTAAAGTTTTGCCAAGGTTTAGAAACACTGCTTTAGACTATGGTTGTGTCAAACCCTGGTAGCACGAAGAGGCAAGGCAAAGAGAAAAATCTCCCTGGCATAGGTTTCTAGTCCTCATGAAGTCACGTGAGTGGTTTTAGGCCTTCCGCTGGGCCCTCATTGCTATTTCCCACGCAGAGAAGCGGGAAAACTTTGAGAACCGAGTCCCAAGAGGTCTCGCGCTCTTTTACGGAGCTGAACAAGCAAGTGGCTAGCCGAGCCGGCACGGAGAGCCGTTTGGTGCGTGAAGCCGACGGAAGCGCCTCGACCCAGGAAGTCTACGAGGCGAAGACGCGGATGCGTTGCCAACGTAAGAAGCGAAGAGCGGCCGGAAACTGTCTTTAAACTGGGTTTAAAGCTGAGATTTCAAGCCCTAGAGAAGGGAGTCTCCAAAACTGGCCCCTTTAAGACTTGTGGACTTCAACTCCCAGAATTCCTCAGCCAGCCAGCTGGGGAATTCTGGGAGTTGAAATCCAGATGTCTAAAGCCATGCAGGAAGGAAGGAAAGAGGAAAGGGGAAGGGGAAGGGGAAGAAAGAAAGAAAGAAAGAAAGAAAGAAAGAAAGAAAG